CAATCAGCAGTTTAACAATGAACAAAATTAATAAAAAGTTAGATTAATGAAAATTGTTGTTGTTCTAAGTTAATATAAATTTGGTTAAAAATATGACACTTACTCTTCACTAACACTCAGTTGATCTGTTGAGAGCAAGAAACTTGGATATACTGTCACCAGGGGGGCCGGAAAAGAATGCTTAGTAACTGAGTGATAAGCTTGAAGAGAATTTCTTTCCCCTGGTGGTCTGACAGAAACAATGAACTCATAAATGATGTTAGCTTCTAGCAAAGATGGTTCCAAAATCAGATGAGGCATTTTTGTCCCTGTAATGAAAAAAAGAGAACATTTTGTATTAAAATGATAGTTTTCAAAGTTCACCGAATATTTGTTTTCAGTTTTAAAGTTCAATATTTACAAAATTAAAATAATCAGGTTCTGAAAGATAATTTCTTCTGGCAAGTATGCTTTGAAGGGTTGTAGATTCTGGTACATGTACTACAGTGAGGTTGTAATATATTAAGCTTTATATTCACCTCTAACAGTATTCAGTAAGTGCTGGTCAACATTCTGCATGTCAGTGCATTGTACTGTCCAGAAAAAATCTGTACCACCACCTTTTGGAGATGAAAAGTGTGCTGTCAGTACAAAGTTTCCACACAAAGAGACAGTACTTGGTCCAGTAATCATCACTTTGTTTTCACCACCAGAAGGAACTTTACTGGCTTGAACATTCTGTGAATATTTTTAAAACAAAATCTGAAAATACTTTTACTCCAAAACAAAAAGATATTAGCATTTACAGAATACAAAATTCTATGATTATTTTCATAAAACTTGATATTGTTGCACAAACACAAACTGAAATAAAGTTTAACACATGGAAAATATCCTATAAATTTGCTTTGAAAGTGTAAAATGGAATTTTTTTCCTCAAAGCATTCTATTAATCCAACTTCAGACAACAATTTTATCCTCAAATACACTGATGTTTTACAAAAAATAACAAAAGAAAAAACCTTTTTAATATTTATGGGGTTTTGAAACTGCTTTAATTCACAATATAGTAACCTAACTTAACACATACACTGTATATACAAAAACCTATTTAGTTATATTTCTGCAGTTTAATAATAATGTTTATAATTACTAAAGCAAAATGAACAATAAAATAAACACAGTAATATAGAAAGTGTTACATATGAAACAAATATTTTTCTATTATTACCAGGTTACTAGTCATAGCTTCAGCCACTTCCTGGTCAGCTTCTGATATAACCCCAGACTGTAGAGTAACAGTGACTGTGTTACCTGATAATAAAGGTAAAGATACAGATAATATTTTCTTTCTGTGTATAGCAATGATTATACAACATTTATAAACAATCCACTAATTGAGTAAACTTAAGATATGAAGTAAGGCTTGAACTGAAATACATTACACCCTGAGATATATATATATATATATACACACACATTCAGATGTTCTGGAAGTAATGTGTGTCATTCTTTCATAATGTAAGAGTTTCAACAAAAACTTACTGCTTCACACCATATCATTTTGGTAGTATAATAAACAGTCAAGGTTAAAGGAAACTACAGCAAGTTCACGAAGGTTGTATTATTTTTTAACTTCCAAGTGTGTAATCAAAACATGGTTCTCCACACTTCTACTGTACTGTTATGTGATATAATTAAAATCTGGGTTCTCTAAGAGAAATGTCAAGGTTATAATACTTACAGTTATATTTTTTACCTAATATGTATATAAATGAGACACTATTTTCACACTTATATTAGGCTAATATGTTGATATGGTTAGTTATTGGGTTCTCTGAGGGAGTTTTGAATGTAAATTATCACTGATTATTATTCAAATTTATTAAAGATGCAAGATGTATTTTCAGTTGCTTGTAGGATTTCTTCTGGATTACCTGAATTTAAATCTTAAAGATGCTTTAACACATTTTATGAATTTTTTATGAACTACAGATCCAAGTTTGCAAGCAAATTTTGACAAAAACATAGGGTATAATTTAGAGCTATGTTCAATGATTATAAGATTAAATTTAGGAATTTTAGGGACATTTATGACTTTCTTTCGTATTTTTTCCAATTAACTACATCAGAAACTTACCCCTTTTCAAACAAATAGTAATAAATAAATTCACAGACATGACTTATTTTGCTTCTTAACTGTTTCCTTCTAGTCTTCAGCACATTGGTTACCATCATATACTTCATATGCATTAAAAGCAAGGTATGGAACTATGGATATTAATTTTTGAAGTATGCTGATAATCAAGCCAAGGATGAGATTCACTTGAAAAACTGGCTTGAAATAGAACCTGTATTATATATAGCTAGGAAACATTGGTTTAATAGATATTACACAAAAACAAGCAAGAAACAAACTTTTATTTGCATTATATAATTCAGTTTCTTGGCCATACAAGCAAACAATTTAGGAATTCTCAAGCACCTAGGAATTTTAGGAATGCTAGAAAGCCTGCAGATCCAATATGTTGTTTGATGTACTCTTATACTGCATTCGTTTTAGTAGCCAATAATAAAATACCATTTTTATAAAACACACACACACACACAAACTGCAGAAATATATAACTGAAATACAGAACTTAAAAAGACATGGTAGAGATAAGAAATATATTGGTGAAACAAATTTTATGAAACTATTAAGAACAGAGTGACAGTATTCAATATAACTAGTAAATAGCACATAAAACAAAATGAAAAAAAAAACAATAACACACATTAATTTGTTTGTCTTTTAATTTCGGGATGACAATATGTAAAGTAATATGAATTTAAAATAAATGATATTAAAAGTAATAATGAGATAAGAAGCCAGATATGTTATATTAATGAGTAAATTTTTGTGCTTAACATAAGCAAGTCTTTGCTGAATTTAGTGGGTTATATTTGATAGTAATAAAATTAACTCACCTTTGATTTGTTTACTCACAAAAACAACAAGTTGGGTTTGGGATGCCCAGTGACAGAGAGATTTTTCACCCAGCTGCTGTAATGTGGAAGCAGAGAGAAGAAGAGAACAATCCTGCAGGTTAGACACTTCCACTGGTCGGTCAAAGATTACTACTACTGCACTTCCTGAAGTAGATTACATAAAATATTTCACTGAAAACAGCATTTTTCTTATTTGTTTTCAATAATTAAAGTTACAGTAATATATGAATAACGATACTGATGCAGTAATTAAGGGAAGTTAATTTTAGAAACACTGATTGGTAGTCAGAATGTGAGGGAGAGGTTTTTTGAAGTGATTTAAGATGGTTTTCTATATGAAATGATCAGAGAGACAACCAGAAGGGATCCCAATGAAGATTTACTATTAATCATCACTGAGGATATGGTTGCAAGAGTTGAAAAGGAGGATCATTTGGGTAAAACTATGCATAATCAGGATTGATGTTTTGCTGCATGTTCAGATGGAAAAAAAAAAATTAGTTTCTAATTTTCAGATGGATATTTTGAAGGCATTAGATAAGATTTATTATCAGTGAATTGGGATAATGAGTTAAAATGTGATGATGCTATTGTTTCTTTATTTTTACTTTCATTAGAAAGTGTTGGTTAGAATATTTAATATACACCTGGAAAAAAGTTAAGCACCCCCGTGTTTTTTTCAAGTGATTCAGATTCGACGTTCTTGTGACTGATTATAAATTACCATTCAATCTAAACGTGTTTATCAAATGAAATTATGCATTATTGGGCACAAGAAAACAAAATTA